GAGCTCAAGCTGGCAGAGGCGAAGGCTCCTGAGGTGAGCGCGCCCCCCGCCGGCGTCAAGAGCGGCGAGGGCGACGCCGGTGCCGAGTCTGCTGTCAAGAAGCGGCTGGACGAGCTGGATGGCGTTCTCAAGGAGCTGGCTGGCGTCGACGCCCCAGAGGTTGCCCAGCTGGTGGAGTACAAAGCTGAGCAGGTCAAGTGGCGGGCGCAGCTTTTTCAGGAGAAGCCGCCGTCGCAGCAGCTCAACACTCTCGGTTTCAAGACCACCAAGGTCGAGCAGCATATCACCAAGCAGCAGAGCGCCCGCAAGGCGAAGCAGGCGCAGCTGGTGGCCCTGCAGGCGGAGCTCGCTTCGCAGGATGCAGTGCTCGCGGAGCCCCGCAAGCAGCTGCTCGAGCTCGAGAGCCAGTGGGCCCAGCTCTATGGCGTTCTGCCGCAGCCGCCCACGGGGCCACCTTGCGCCGACGCTGGCAACGACCAGAGCAGCTGGGCGCTGCCCAAGCTGGAGCAAGTGCTTTTGGCTGCTGGCGCTGCTCCTGACCTGCCGCAGGAGGTGGCTGCAGTGGTGGGCAAGATTCGCCAGCACCGCCAGACCCAAGAGCAGCAAGCCCAGGCCCAGCGAGAGGCCAACGAGAAGCAGGCAGCTGAAGCAGCTGCTCAGGCAGCCATAGAGCAGCAGGATGCTGCCACGGCAGGCGATGCCGATGAGGTCCAGGAGGAGGAGTCGGTCAACCAGGCCACTGCTGAAGAGCTTCGCGATTACCTGCGCGACTCTGGTGCTGAGCTCCCTAATGCTGCTGAAGCCTCCGAGGAGGAGCTCCGAACAGCTGTCAAGCGCCTCCGCCTGGCCAAGCCCAAGTGGAAGGTGGTCAAGAAGCCACGCGCGGCCTGAGTTCTCCCTGTCGCCGACCATGACGAGAACCAAGTTGCATACTACCGCAGTTAATGCCAAGCCTTTTAGCACCTTGTCCAAGCACCTCGTCGACAGCAGCAGTGACGTGGCCATCGCGCAGGAGCACCACGCGCGCTCTGACAAGCCGAGGTGCAGGGTGACACCCAAGGCGCTGGCTGGCGTGGCGTCTGGTGCCCCGCGTTGCCCACCGCGGCAAGGGGCACTGAGGGAGGCGTCGCGGTCCTGGCCCAGACTGAACTCGCCGTCGCCCAGGCGCCGCTGCTGGACGACGGCATCATTGTGCCAGGCGGGGCCGTGGCGGCCCACGTCCATGCTGCCCTGACTGGCGGCTTCGTGGCGGTGGCTCTCTACCTCCGCACGGGCGAGGGCAGGTCGCCCCCCAACCTGGCGCTGGTGTGGCAGGTCGTGCAGTATGTGAAGCGCGTGGCCGCAGGCCCTGTGCTGTCGTGGGTCGTCGGTGGCGGCTTCGACATGTCGCCGCAGGAGCTGCTGGGGCATGACTGGCTCCCCTTGGCTGGCGCCAGGTGCGTTGGCCCGCTGGGGCCGACCTGCATGCAGGCCGTGCCTGCCGCGACGCTGGGCGATTTCCTGGTGCATGGGCCCATGCTGCATGGCGTCGCGTTCGAGGTTGGCGACTCCGTCACTGGCATCACCTGGCCACATCGGCCCGTCACGCTGGCCATTGCCAAGCGCGCGGGGCCGCCGATCGCCCGCGAGCTCGACGAACCGAGGCCATTCCTCGGGAGCCGCCTGTGGGGTGTGCGCGCTACCCCTGGCGCGGCTGGGGGCAGGTATACGGCTCCATCGATCAGGCGCAGTCTCTTCCCCAGCTCGCGACAGCATGGGGTTTGGTCCTCCGAAGCGTTGGAGGAGGAGCTTGCAGGAAGACGCGACATCGTCGGCTCTCGCAAGCAGCGCTACGTGGGCAGAGAAGGCACAGTCCAGCAGCGCACGCGCCAACTCCGGCGGCGCCCTCCTGCGCGACGAGCACGCCACGGCCCCGACGTGAGCGCGTGGACTGTCGCGGCCTGGCGGGCCCAGCACATCATGCAAGTGCGCGGCTGCGCGAGCAAGACAGTCGCCCAGCTCACAATCTCCCAGGCCGATCAGAAAGAAGAGCAAAACCAGGTGGTCAGGTGGACCCCTCATCGCGCGCGCCGTCTGTCCCTTCCAATGGCAAGCAGACCGCGCAGGGGAGCAGCAGCGGCCAGGTGGACCCTGCAACTACCCCCTCAGAGGTCAGGCCAGCTCTGGTTTCGACTTTGGAGGCTGACCTTATCGAACTAACGCCGGTTGGGGAGCATGGCCCGAACGTGATCGACGGCAGCGCAACTACGCGCACCCTGTATGCCCATGGGAAAGGGCCTGCTGCTTGTGAGGCCCACAGCGGTGGGGTGGCCGATGCCCTCACACATGTTGTGGCTACTGGCGGCCTGGCGAGGTGCTGCGACGCTCGCCCCGTCGCCCCCTCCCTGCAAGCCCGAGCGAGGCCCACAGCGGTGGGGTGGGCGAGGCCCTCGCGCAGCAAGTTGCTCCTGGCGGCCTGGTGAGGTGCTGCGACGCTCGCCCCGACGCCCTCCCTGTAAACCCGAGCGAGGCCCACCGCGGTGGGGTAGCCGATGACCTCGCACGTGGTGTTGCTCCTGGCGGCCTGGTGAGGTGCTGCGACGCTCGCCCCGTCGCCCCCCCTGTAGGCCCGAGCGAGGCCCACGGCGGTGGGGTGGCCGATGCCCTCGCGCACGGTGTTGCTGAAGGCGGCATGGAGAGGTGCTGTGACGCTCGCCCCGTCGCCCCCCCTGCAAGACCGACGCTGCGCAACGTGGGCGGCGAGATGGGCCCCTTCGACGAACTGGATGCGGCGCCGCTGGGCGCCGAATAAGGTCAGGATGGTCTGGAGGCTGGCGGCCCGCAAAGGCCCGGTCAGGATCCCTCCCCGCTGGTCGCGCTATCCGCGGGGAGGTCGGTCGTCGCCAAGATGGGCGCTGGTGAAGACAGCCAGTCCCCGGATCCCAGTCTCGCTCACGATGGACACGGAGGTGGTGCTAACCAGGCGGGGCCTGGCGGCCTGCCTAGGCTTGGTCAGGGCCCCTCCCCGCTGCGCGCTCGACCCGCCGGGGAGCCTTCGCATGCCGCGATGGACGCTGGTGAAGATCGCTAGGCTCCGCCCGAGGACCGCGGTGAGGACCCCGACCAGGTAGTGGCGCAGCGACGACGAGAAGCACGCCAACGGGGGCTCCGACGGCGCGCCCAGCACTGGATCGGCGACCCGCTCCACGACCAGCAGACCGAGCAGGACGTTCTCGACGACTGGATGGAGCGGTGCGTGCCGCGCACAGCGGAGCAGCTGCGGGGCCCAGTCTTCGATGCCCTGTGGGGCGGTGGCGGCTGGGGCGAGGCCCCGCCGCGAGATGCGCGACGGTGGCATCGGGCCCGTGAGATGTGCGAGTCGGCCTGCCGGCAGCCGCAGCCGCAGTCGCAGCTGCGCCAACGCTCTGAGGAGGACTGGGCCGAGGCGGCAGACATGGATTTACGAGCCTTCGAGCAGCAGCGGCAGTGGCTCGACCAGCGCTCAGGCGATCGAGCAGGCCGTGCACCTCAGCCGCGGCCTCCAGGAGCTGCCAGAAGCATGGTCTTCCACGGGTTGCAACACTACACGCGGCTCCATAGCCTGGCCGCCGAGCTGCTCGCCTTCGAGGCGTTCTTTGGGCGCATCAGCAAGCAGCAGCACATCCTGAGACAGCTGGATGGCGGTGCTCGTGAGATCTTCCAAGCCAGCCCTAGGGCGCTGGCCAGCCGCTCGGTGGAGGTCCGACTGCAGGGCATCATCGCCAAGGCCAAGGAGTTCACCGCGGAGGCTGTGGCCAGGTGCACCAAAGCCTGGGCCACTTGGGCGAAAGACGCGTTCGCGGGAGGCGCTGGGCTGGCACGCAGGTTCGCCAAGCCGAGGCAGAAGGTAGAAGTCCCACGGGCCAGTGTGAGTGGCCACCCATGCGACCTCGCGAACACGGAGCTCGGCGACTGGAAGGCCATTTGGGAGCACCACCAGCTCGGCGAGGCCTCGCTCCCTCCTGGTGCTGAGCATTGGCCAGAGCTTCCGCACCTCGCGGTGCAAGACCTGCTCTCGGCCATCCGCTCTACCAAGCAGGGCGCGGCCGTTGGCCAAACAGGCCTCCGCCCGAGGCAACTCGACGTCCTCTCCGACGAGGCGTTGCTGGCGCTGTCGCTACTATTACACACCTGTGTGCATCGCCTCGGATGACCGCCGCAGCGCATCGTTACAGTCCTAATCCGATTACCAAAAGCTGGAGGAGGCATGAGACTGATCGGGCTACTCGACGCGGCGGGTTCGCCTCGGGAGTCGCGCGCGGCGCCCGCTGGCAGCCCAGTGGGAAGCCACCCATCGAGAGGAGCACGCCTGGGGGCTTGGCCCGGGCATGAGTTCTTCTGCCTCCGTTTTCGCCTACAACCTGTCCTCGAAGATTACGCTGGCCAGGCAACAGGACGTGATCACACTCATGGTGGACTTGACGAAATGTTTCGAAATGGTTGCGCCTGTAGTATGGGTGCGCGAAGCTATGAAAGTGGGATTCCCACCGAGACTTGCATGGCGACTGGTGCAGTTATACTGCCAGCCTTGCGTGGGGCGGGCCCACGGTAGCGAGAGCGAGCTCTACATCTCGTTCCAGGGCATCGTGGCAGGCTGCCCGCAGGCGACCACGCTCCTGGCGGTGCTGATGCACAGAGCCATGCTGCGGCTCAGCGCCCAATGCCCCGCGCTGCAGCCCAGGCAGTTGGTGGGCGACGTGCGTTGCAGCGGACTGGCCCCGCTGGCCGCAGTTCGCTGGGGCTTGGTGAAAGCATCGACCAGCTCACGCACGAACTCAAGTCCCTCAAGCTGCCCATCCAGGTCAAGAAGCTGGGCTACGTGGCTTCGTCTAATCGCGCTGCACGGCGGTTCAGCTTGGCGGCGCGGGCTCGGCAAATCGCAGGCCTACCGTGGATCCGCAACCTCGGGCACGAGTTGGGTGGGCCCAGGGTGCGACGCCGCCTGGAGGCCGACAGACTTGCGCAGCTACGCGGCCGAGTTCGACGATCCATGATTCTCAAGAAGGCAGTGGGTGCCAGGCGCATGGCGCGCATCCAGACGGCTGGACTCGCACCCTCGGTCACGCACGGGGCCTCGGTCAGTGGGGTCGCAGACGCCGCGCTCAAGCCGATCCGATCGGTAGCTGCCATGTTGGCAGGAGTGCGCCCCACGGGCAGCATCTGCAGGGACGTGCTCATGCAGGACCAGGCGCTGTACGACCCGCTCTACGCGGCGACCGCCAGCATCGCCTACATGTATGCGACCCAGCTCTGGGAAGGCCGGGTGGAAATGCAGGCCCTGAGGGCCGCGCGGCGGTTCTTGGACGGCCAGATGCGCACCCAGCCCAACTGGGGCAAAGTACGTGGACCCATCGGCGCGCTGTGGCTTTCTTTGGCTCGGATCGGCTGACGGCTCAGCTCGGCTACCACGTTCGAGACCCACCTTGGCACTGTGTTGCGCCTCCTGGAGATGTCACCTCGCGACGTCCGTGACCAAGTCGACCAGGGGGTCATGCGCTGGCTGTTGGCGCGGGCCGAAAGCCACATCGAGGGGCACAACGGCGAGCAGTTCTGGCACCGCGGCATTCGGCGGTGCGTGGAGAAGGCCGTTCGGGATCCTTCCGAAGGAGGCTCGCTGCAGTGTGTTTGGACTGATGCGATGTGGCCTCGCCAGAAAAAGTTGGAGAAGATACTGACCTCTGATGGTCGTTGTCTGGCATGCGGTGCACAGCGTGAGACCCGCGGCCATCGTTGGCACAAGTGCCCTGCGCTCCTGGACCCTGCCCTGCACGAGACGGAGCCCCCAGAAGCCATCATTAAGACCCGCGAGCGTTTGCTTGAACCAGCAGGCCCTGGAGTCTGCCCTGGATGAGCCCCATGAGGCCCTGAGGTTTGCCTATGCCATCCCGCTCGAGCTCCCTCCCGCTGAAACCCCGCCCATGTGCCCCGATTTCGTGCACCATTGGGGGGATGCGGAGCTGCCTTGGGGCGGCCGTCTGTGCATTGATGGCGGTGGTCTTGGCATGGGCACTCCTGAGATTGCCAGACGTTCGCGGGCCGTGGCCCAGTTGCGAGACGACGGCTGGCCCTGCATGGCGATGTTCGGCACTCTTCCAGGGGCGCAGACGGTGGCCCGAGCTGAGAGATATGCTGGGCTGATCACTGCTTGCCTCTCCCCTCAGGTCACCAGTCTTGTCTCGGACCAGTTCAGTTTTGTTGGGGGAGGGCGACTGTGGAGCCCTCGCGACGCGCCCGCCTCGGCTCGCCAAGACAGGAGGCCGCCGTCGTTTGGAGGTATTCCCTCGCACAAATCCCTGGCCCAAGCTATTGAGCTCGATCTTGACCTCCAGGGTTGGCTCGGTAATGGGTGGGCCGACCTGTTTGCCAGTGTTGCCCTGGACTTGGCCAGCCTCGCCGAGAGCCTGGCTCGTAGTCTGAAGGTTCGCCTGGAGGAGGCCTGCCTGGACGCTCGTTTCTTGGCGCGGGCTTCTGCTCGCGTGGCTGGCTCGGGCGCCTGGGGCCCCGTGGAGGCTGACCCTCGGGGACCTCGCCCCGAACCTCGGCCACCCAAACTGCCCACGTTTGTTGCGCGCGAAATTGCGGCGCTCCCTGGATGGGGGTGCCCGTTGCACGGCTTGCAGCCGCGTCGCTCGCACGGCAGAGGCCGTGCGATGTCTTGAACCGTTTCCCTGCGTGGCTTCCCGCTTGGCCGGGCTCCGCGCCCAGGCGGCCATGCAGGCCGAGGGGGTCAGCCCTGCCCCTCCGCGCCCCTCCCCCGCGGTGGCCTTGGCCCTGGCCGCCGCTGCCGCCGTCGCCGCCACTGCGGCTGAGAGGGCCGAGACTGGCCGTTCGCCCAGGCGGCAAGAGGACGACCCTGCCCCCTCTGTGCCCCCGCTCAGGTCTCGACGCAGGTTGCACGGAACCCATTCGTCCCAAGCCTTCGAGCTGGACCGATCTGCCCGCGCGCAGGCCTCGACCGAACCCTCGAGCCCGTCTGGGCGCCGGTTTGCCTCGGAGGTCGCGGGCTCGGGGCCCGACGTTTCCCGCTCCTAGCGTCCCGAGAGCAGCCTCTCGGACGATGCCCGACGTGCTGCGATCGTGGGTCGCCTCCTCAGAGCTGCGGGGGGTGCACCCGCTGCCCCTGCCTCTCGCCGCGCCCCGCCCTCTCCTGAGCCCCCCTCGGGGTGGCTTGCTGGAGGCCCCCCTGGAGGAGCTGGAGGGGTCGGCGTGCGAGGTGGCTGGGAGGGCGGGCGATCGCGCGATGCGAACGCAGTCGAGCAGCCCCGCCCCGCCGACGGCGGCGCCAGCAACGCCCCCGCCACCGTCGGCGCCTGCTGCTGCGGCGCGGGCTCCGGCGAATGCGGGGCCAGGCGGCCCGCCACCGTGCCGCGACCGCTGCTTCCACCGAGGAGGGGGGCGGGGAGGCGGCTGGGCCTCGTTCGGGTGGGTCGGAGGAGGTCGTCCTGGACCGAGGCCACGAGATCCTCGCTCGGCCCCCCTCCACTCTCCGCCGCAGAGGAGGCGCCTTGTCCAAGAAGCAGGTGCGGAGTCTGTCTTCAGCCTGCCCTGGCACGCTCCCTGAGCCTGGGCAGTGCACGACGCCCGCCGGGCGTGAGCGAGCTCGTCGGAGGGATCGGCTTGTTCAGGGGCTCCACCCGATGACGGGTAAGGCTTTGGGCTCGGGGCCACAGGCCGCCGCTCCCTCCCAGGGGTGCCAGTTTTCTGGTTTTTCCCTGGCCTCCGAAGGGTTCGGAGGCTCCTTGATCGGCGATTTGGGGATGGCCTGCTGCCGAGTTTCTGGTTTTGTCCAGGGGCTCCTAAGCGGCCCACGTGGGCCCCGCTGGTTCAGGCCGCGGTCCGTAGCTCCTTGATGCGGAACGTGCGCCCTTGATTGCCCGACACACACACACACACCCACACACACACACACAAACACCCACACACCCACACACCCACACACCCACACACCCCCATACCCCCACACCCCCACACCCCCACACACCCACATCCTTGTTCCTTATTATTATATACCCCCACCTACCTCGTATTCCGGCCGATAGCAACCCAATCCGGGACCTCCCATCCGGACTATAAAAAATTATAGCCGGAGTGCAGTATCCCCAAACAGGGTTTTTAGACCCACTGTGATTTCCAAGGTCGATTGCGTGCCCGTCCAGTGCGGGCTGGCATGGCATGTTAAAACATGCCTCCTCCTCCTCCTCCTCCTCCTCCTCCTCCTCCTCCTCGTCCACCTCCTCTTCATCCCGAAAGGCATCTCGGAGCCCAGAGTTGCGAGGATGTCTCCAGCGTAACGGGCTGGACCACCTCGCGCGCGGCATCTCGGACCCAGAGTTGCGACGATGTCTCTGGCGAAACGTGGTGCGAGGAAGTCTCAGGCGAAACGGGCCGGACCACCTCGAGCGCGGCGTCTCAGAGCTCCGAGTTGCGGGGGCCTCCTGGTGCCTCCTGGGGCCTCCTGGGGACCTCCTGGGGCTTCCTCCTGGGCCTCCTGTGGCCTCCTGAACTCCACCTGGGGTTTCCTGAAGCGTCTTGGGGCTCCCGGGGGATATCTAACCTGTGGCCGCTTGGGCCCCTCAAAATACAGGGGGACCCACAAGAGCAGGAAAAATCAACGAATCGACACCTGATGTGAATTAACTTGACACGTTCTGACAGGGGGCCTCCTGGGGCCTCCTGGGAGCCTCCTGGGAATCTCCTGCGGACCCCTTGGGGCCTGTCCTGGGCGTCCTGCGGCCTCCTGGAGCTCTCTGGGGCCTCCCCCTCCTCCTGCCTGCTCCCTCATGCACATCATCCGCCTCCTCCTTCTCCCTTCCATCTCCTCCTCCTCCTCCTCCTCCTCCTCCTCCTCCTCCTCCTCCACCTCCTCTTCATTCCGAACGGCATCTCGGAGCCTAGAGTTGCGAGGATGTCTCCAGCGTAACGGGCTGGACCACCTCGCGCGCGGCGTCTCGGACCCCAGAGTTGCGACGATGTCTCGGGCGAAACGTGGTGCGAGGAAGTCTCAGGCGAAACGGGCCGGACCACCTCGAGCGCGGCGTCTCAGAGCTCCGAGTTGCGGGGGCCTCCTGGGGCCTCCTGGGGCCTCCTGGGGACCTCCTGGAGCTTCCTCCTAGGCCTCCTGTGGCCTCGTGAACTCCACCTGGGGTTTCCTGAAGCCCCTTGGGGCTCCCAGGGGGGATATCTAACCTGTGGCCGTTTGGGCCTCTCCAAATGGAGGGGGGGGCACAAGAGCAGGAAAAATCACCGGATGTGTATTAACTTGACACGTTCTGATAGGCGGCCTCCAAGACGACCTCCGAAGGCGTCAGGCGGGACAAGAAAGCTCGAAGACTGCCCAAGAGGGCCCCAAGATGCCCCAAGAGGCCTTAACGAGGCTCTCCAAGAGGCCCCCAAGGGCCCCTCAGAGGCCGCCAATGCTCAATTGCAGTGGGTCTCTGAGTCAACCTCCCTCACGCAGCGCTGCTGCGTTGGCCTGTTGGTACAGAGTGCTCCAAAGAAGAATCGCAAACCAGACCGATGATCCAGACACTTGCGAAGTATAAAAAACTAACTATCATTCGCCATTCTCTTAAACTCAACACCCGTGGCACCAACCAAGACAATGGGGTAACCGCTCAACCTGGCGGCGTGCACAGCGGGGAATGGCGAGGGGCAGACTTCTACGAATGCAGGGGGCTCCTTAAAAGACTCCCTGCTTTCCAATTATACTTGTTCGACACCTCTGTTCGGGTTCCCTTCTCAAGAATTCCTCCGCAACCCATCCCAACTCCTTACCCGCCGAAGACTACCGTGGTGCGCCCACAACCATACGCATCCGCCAAAGACCAGCCGCGTTGGCATCTGCACCTCGATGTTCATGTCTCGGCCAACATGCTCTCCTCCATGTCTTGCTGGGCCTGGTCTGTCGGGTTGCTGTACTCAGCCTCTGCCTGCAGGACTTGGTTCGTGGCGAGGGCGACAAACCCAGCAAGAAATTCCGCTGTCGCGGCGACTAGGAAGATCAGCGGCAACGCCATCGCCAGCGCCACGAAGCCCTCGATGACCGCGAGGCATACGGTGCAGACCTGGGCTCCAAAGGTTGCGGCGCTGCTAAGCAGCGCCATCTGAAGGGCCACGCTGACGTGGCCCTGCTGCTCCTCAGCACGCTTGCTGAGCCTTCCGACAAGGCCGAACCCTATGGAGTGCGCCCCCGCGAACGGGAGGATTGAGAAGGTGGTGCACAAGAAGGCGAGCGCGCCGTTGTGCCCCACGAGCAGCGCCGCAGTCGAGTTCGCAGCGGCACCTGAGAACAGCATCACGGCGAAAATCGCCATCGGCTGCGCTCTGGTTCTACGCAGGATGAGGATGACCAGCAAAGAAGACGCAAGAAGCATGATCCGCGGGCCCCCGCTCGCTTGGTGAGGCATCCTAGGCGATCGACGGGGCTGGCCACTCAGCAGAGAGCGGCGGGCTCAGCTTCGAAGAATCCGGGGCACGCCCTACATCCTCCCTCGAAGCGAAACGCGTGTTGTTCCCGCGACGTGGCGGCGCCCCAGGACCCTAAAATTTCAATGTTCGCGCCGACGGTGGCGACTGCAAACACAAGAATCTGACCCCGTGGGCCCGTGGGTCGCGTTCCACGCGTCTACCAACAGTAGAATTCGAGTTTGACTTCGGGGAGGGTTGTAGCCTCGCCGCAGACGCCGCCCATCCAGACGGCTGATACGGAGGGAAGCCAGGTTGATCCTGGCCTCTCCCGGCCTCCGCTTCCGCGGCGGGGGGGGGGGGTCAGCGAGCAGCCCGGGCTCCCAGCTGTCCCCCGATTTGGTTTTGAACAGGGACCGACCGCCCCGGTATTCATATAGGCCTACCACGGAGTGTTCTTAGAACCAACCAATGTTTAAATAACAAGAAACAAGGTTCTTAGAGCATGGAACCGATGTACTAGAACAATACAGTTTTGGCCAAACACGTTCTGAGAACCTTTCGCGCAAACCACCATCCCAAGACATTTTTCGGTTGTCGTATAGGCAAGCCTGGACGCTTCGCCAATGCTTGATGGTTTCCCCAGCCCGCGGCCCCAGAGCTCCCGAACCCCGGCCCGGGGCCAGCTTTGCGCCCCGGATCCATTTCTGATGGCCCCGACGCTCCATGGTGGGCCCCGGAGGCCGAAATCGAGGAACAACTCCGGAATGCAAATAATCGTATCCTCAGGGATCTGGGTTGCCGATTCAGGACTCGGTCGGCGTCCGTCCGGAACGATTCGGGCATTCCCCGAACGGTCTCGGCGAGGCGCAGCTGTTGGAACGCACCCCGAGGCCAGAAGACCTCCAGGAACCGTCGAGAACTGCCGAAACCTTGCTCCTCGGAGATCTGGGTAGGTCGGAATTACAGGAACAAACGGCCCAGATTGAGAACATCATACCCTCGGAGCTCTCGCCTCGCACCTCGCGAAGCTCCTCGCGCCAACCCCCCGTCCCCCCGCGGGGAGGAAGAAACACAGAAAGATGCCCAATCTGCACCACGAGGCGCGGCTTGACGATCCTCAGAACGTGCCTTATAGCGCCACCGTGCGTTTGTCCACCGAGGCACTCCTGAACCTAGACTCCAGCACTGCTTCAACCACTTGCTCGACCTCGTCACGGAGCCCCGGCAACGCCCGTGGGTGCGCCCTCGCCGCGGCCCGGCTGCTGCCACGGCCCGGCTGCTGCCACGGCTGGCCGCACCGGCCCACTCGACGTGGAAGTCTTCCGCGTCTGAGAGGCTCTCCTCCTCCTCCGGTCCTCCGCGCAGCCACCCCAGTCCTGTTACCCCCTCTTGCACGCGAGCCAATTCGCCTTTCGGTCGCCCCGTATCGCCACCCGCTGGAGCAGCTTCTCTGCCTCGCAACCGACGGAGAAAGCTTGCCCACCGAGGCCCTCCACGTGCGACGCGGGCGGCGTGGCCAACGAGGGCCCACACGTGCACGGCCTGCGAGCCAGCGGCGGAGAGGAGCGTGCGTCCTGCGGGCCCTCGCGCGGCCGCCTCCGCGCCCCTGCGGTGGAGAGCCAGGTGGCCCAGGGCCCCCCCCCCGCGCTCGGAGGCCCTCGGGGCCGACCAGGAGCGCTGCTCGGGCGTTTGCGCAGGGGGGGGGCGTGGCGAAGAAGGAGGGACCTAAGTTAAGAGGGCAGGGCCAGGAGCATTAAGGTTGAGCACGGACCAAACCGCCCAGAATAATCATCCCTAATGCGAAGACGACGGGGACCTCAGAGAGGCTACGTCTTCACCGCGCTATTGAGGTCAGGGGTTCCTGTGTTCTCAAGGAAGAAGCGCGCACCCTGCGTGCACCTTTTGGGACCTGCGGTGGCAGTTTCGGGGCCCTTCAGGGCCACCCTCCTGCAAGCCTCGATCCTCCCGCGCTCATTGCCCCCCCGGGGCAGCCGTCCGCCCGAGCTGCTCGGGCTCGGGTGCGGCCCTGGGATGTCTCGCGGCTGCCTGGCGACGACCTGGGCGCGGCCGAAACCTGGCAAGCGTCCCAGGAGAGGCGTGCGGCACTCCCTGCACTCTCACCCCTCCCGCTGCCCGTCCAGCTACTTCCACCTCTGCCCTCCTCCTGCGTCCTCCATTCTCTTCCCCAGACCCCCTCGCGTCGACAAAAAACGCACGAGGGGAGGTCTTTGGGCGTTTTCGGCTCCTGGGGGCGCACCTCCTTGGAACTTGGTCCAGGCGCGTCGATAAATAGAGATGCCCAAGCGCCAAGCGCGTACAAGCACTATAACCTCGCCGACGTTTCGCGCGCTTAGGTTCTGACCACCACCCACCCTCGACAACGGCACAACTTTACATGTGCACACCAATACGCACCGGTTGCATTTAGGTTGCGACAAGGGACGCCCAGGAAATTATCCCAACGGAAGACCCAACCATATGCAGTTGTGGGTACCGCAATTGTGAAGATATTCTTCGGCGAAGCTCCCTATAGGGCCACGAAGCGCTGTACTGGGTGGGGGGGGAACGCATGCGGGTGGTAACGCTGGGGCCGTCGGTGGAGTTTCCTATGGTGCCACGAAGCGCTGTACTGGTGGCGGACGCATGCGGGCGGTGCCACTGGGACCTTCGGTGGAGCCCCCTTACGGGGCCACGAAACGCTGTACTGGGTGGGTGAAACGCAGGGAGCAAGGGCTGTGCTGGGTGGTGGCGGACGCATGTGGGCGGTGCCACTGGGCCCTTCGGTGGAGCCCCCTATGGGCCACGAAACGCTGTATGGGTGGGTGGAACGCAAGGAGCAAGGGCAGTGCTGGGTGGTGACGGACGCATGCGGGCGGTGCCACTGGGACCTTCCGTGGAACCCCCGATGGGGCCACGAAGCGCTGTACTGGGTGTGCGAAACGCAGGGAACAAGGGCTGTTGTGGGTGGTGGCGGACGCATGCGGGCGGTGCCACTGGGATCTTCGGTGGAGCCCCCGATGGGGCCACGAAGCGCTGTACTGGGTGGGTGAAACGCAGGGAGCAAGGGCTGTGGTGGGTGGTGGCGGACGCACGCGGGCGGTGCCACTGGGACCTTCGGTGGAGCCCCCCATGGAGCCACGAAGCGCTGTTCTGGGTGTGTGGAACGCAGGGGGCAAGGGCTGTGCTGGGTGGTGGCGGACGCATGCGGGCGATGCCACTGGGAACTTCGGTGGAGCCCCCTATGGGGCCACGAAGCGCTGTACTGGGTGGGTGAAGAGGGAGCAAAGGCTGTGCTGGGTGGTGGCGGACGCATGCGGGCGGTGCCACTGGGACCTTCGGTGGAACCCACGATGGGGCCACGAAGCGCTGTACTGGGTGGGTGAAACGCAGGGAGCAAGGGCTGTGCTGGGTGGTGGCGGACGCATGCGGGCGGTGCCAATGGGATCTTTGGTGGAGCTCCCTATGGGGCCACGAAGTGCTGTACTGGGTGGATGACACGCAGGGAGCAAGGGCTGTGCTGGGTTGTGGCGAACGCACGCGGGCGGTGCCACTGGGGGCTTCGGTGGAGCTCCCTATGGGGCCACGAAACGATGTGCTGGGTGGGTGAAGCGCATGGAAGAGGGAGAAGGAGGAGGAGAAAAGGAAAGGAGGAGAGGAACGCGGGGACCGCCTCTTCAAAACGAGGACCCATCACCACAGGTTGGTTGGGAAAAACTGGGTTACCAGAGGGGGTGGGGGGGAATTTGGAAAAATGGGTCGCCCACTGGGCCCGCGGACCCTGTCAACAACAACAACAACAACAACAACAACAGCAACAACAACAACAACAACAACAACAACAACAATTACTAGCACGTGGGGACACACCGTTCTCACCAGTGCCAGGGTTTTCATAGGAGGCGGGCAATACCCCCACTTTGTGGGGGGGCCGGTTCAAGCTCTACCAAATTTCCAAACGACTCTTCGCCACCACCCACACCCAGCTTCCCGCCCTATGACGTTCGGACACTTCACTTCGTGGCATGCGGACGACCGTGGCTACTATTCAGGGCCCCGCGGCCGACGACGACGGCGTGCGCGCGCGAAGAAAAAACGAATGTGTCCCGCATGGTATTATTTGACAGGGATGATGGCCCTGGCAGGTGCGCAACCGTTGTTGCAGAAGTTCGAAAAAGTTGCTCGCAAAAGCCCGTTTGACAGAAATGTTTAAAAAGTGTTGGGTTTCCTACGAATCCGCAAGAGCGCGCGGGATGAAATTTTGACATTTTTTGTTGAAAAACCATTGGTTTTTTGATGTTTTTATGTTAAAATCGCTACGAAAACTAAGGTTTTGGAAGGATTTCGTCTTGCGCGCGCGAATGTCCACTTTACCTTATTTTTTGCAAGGGATTCTTGAAGTTTGGTTATGTTAGAACAAGAAATGTCCACTTTAGCTTATTTTTTGCAAGGGAAAACCGATCGTAACAACACAACCGGATCCGGACTCCCCCGTTTTGCCAGAGACTTCCTCGCGAAAATGATGAAAATGAGGCTGCGGCCTAGGCGCGGCGGGGGGGTCGTGCACCAGGGGCCCCAACAATAATTATTCTTAAGAAGAAATAATGTTCAACAACAACAACAACAAAGAGCCGCGCCCAGACGGCGCATCGGCAGAAAATGTGCACATGCATACGTGGAAAATGTCACTGGGCCTCGGCCGGCAACCACTTGCAAGCTCTGCGCAAATGGCGCGCGAGGGTAAGCAGCAACACTCCGTCTGAAGAGGGTGGGGGGGGCGGGGAGGGGACAGGGAGGAGGGAGGCGAATGGGCAGAGCGAGGGAACTCATCGCAGTCACACTGGCTGTTTACAATACTCTTTGACAGCTGGATCCCATTCCCTTGGAGGAGAATTCAATAACATCTGCAGGCGGTCGGGGTCGTCTCCTGCGACTCTCAGCGCGCGGGCGTGCATGCAACTGGTCCATTGCAAGCGCGGTCTGCCTCGATTCTTCAGGGACCGCCATTCCCGTGGCATTAGGGAGTGCGGACCCTGTCGCCGGGTATATTTCATGTGTGCATCCAATAATCTATCTATGTATACTTGCGCGCCGATGTTGATCTTCACACCCTCACGCGTCCGCAGGCTGAAAGGTGCCTTACCGCATCGGCGACCCCTCGCTTTCACGACCTGGCGCCCGCCCGACTATAGCGAGACGCTTCAGGCTCCGACGATCGACTTTAACTTTCGGGTGGTGCCCTCGCTCGTGGACTCCACCGGGACCCATGGCCCGAGCAGGGGCGGTAGACTTCCGCATCGTGCGGACAAAAGGGTTCGTGTGGGTAGGTCGCAGGGGCTGCAACTGCTCGATGCGTGAACGGCGGGTGTCTGTGCGCCGCAAGGCATCCTCTATGGATTTGCTCTGGCCTGCGCGGGCAAACTGCCTCTGCCCTGTCGCATAAGCCTCGTGAGCTGCAGACCCGAGAGGTGCGGATGGGTTGCCCTGGTAGACGCAGGTGCTGAACCACTGTCCGGCGTACAGTCCCCAAGCTGTCCCTGCCAACGTAACCAGGCATTGGACAGCAGCCAGGCGCCGGAATATCAAAGAACTCCCCTTTGCAGCCTCGATGACATCGAAGACGGGTGTGAGCAAAGAACTCCGTGCGCACCTGGCGTCTGGCGAAACATTGGTCGCTGGCGCTTCCTCGGCTACAGCGAACTGAATCAGGACTGCAATCGAATTAATTGAACAAAGAAGCACTACCAACTCCAACATGTGCTCCGCTGGGACGCCATACAAGCCCAGCATTGAAAATCCCATCAAGCTGCCGACTCCCTTCATGAAGACGACCAATACCTGCACTTGAACCTGCTGGTCATCGGAAGCAATATCCGCAATTAGCGCGCGTTGCGGTACGTCCAATATGTTCACCGCAATATCCAAAACCCAGAGCATCGGAGCCGCCGCAAAGGGCGCCACGTGTTCCGGCAGCAGGTGCTCGCCCAGGGCGAACGACACTCCTGGGAGCCCCCGGCCCAGGCCACTGGTTTATCCAGCCCTCCCCGCCCTGCCTTTCCCAGGGCAAGCTCCCGTGGTGGGCTGGGAAGGGTGGAGTGTTACAGTCAAGGCCCCGCCACAAGGATCCTCTACGTGAGGGACGCTGCTCCTCGCGGGCCCCACTTCTTTTCCCCAAGTGCGCGGTGAGCGCTGGAGGAGAGGGCTGGGGTGGAGCCCAGGAGCCTCGAGGTCCATCCGTTCCGGAACCCATGTGCTCTGTTCAATCGACCCGACCGCAGGGCCCGGTGTTGCCAAGGGTGCCGTCAAAGGTGCGGTGCCCCAGGCCTACAACGCCCCCCCCTAGGATCAGGAGGTCCAAGGATGCGCAGGCGCAGACGGGGGACGAAAATAAACGGATCCAACGCACGATGATACAGCGGCCTTACGCCGCGGCTTACCCGGGCCGCCCGGGAAGCGAAGCGCGCTACATTGGAAACGAATGGGCTCGCGCGCGACCTCACGCGGGAGGCCTCCGCGCGAATGTCGGCGCTGGCGACCCCGCTTGCATCCGCCGCCCAGATGCCCTGCAGCGCGCACATCACGAGGCCCAGGGACCCCGTGGGGGCTCCAGGGTGGCAAGCAGAGCAGTGGACCGTCTGGGCCAGGGCCACCACCTGGCGGGGGGGGGAGGGGGGGAAGGGGTACCGAGGACCAGCGGGCGCGCTGGAGCCGCGCAGAAGACATGCCGCACGAGACGGGGCCAGCATTTCTCCGTCTCTCCGAGGGTGTGGGGCGCGCGGCGCCTTGCGCGACAGGGCCCCCGACGCCATGTCCTGTTCACCGCGTCGACCCCCCCAAGAGGTCTCGACCCACTCCACAGGACCGATGCTTCAGGTCCTTCATCCGGAGCCATGCCCTGATGGTCCCGGAGCCTGCCGAGGGCCCACCGGTGCCGAAGATGTCCCAAAGACCTCCTGTCGCGCTTGCTCCACGGCTCGAGGGGGTCTGCTGAGCTCACCGCTGCGGGGGTGGTAAGGGGGCAGGGAGAGGTTAGAAGTGGATGCTAAGGCGAGTCGTATCTGGCCTAACCTTGGCTTAAATGGGCTACGGGGGCCCAAATTGGACTGAGCGGGAGTGCGGGTCTGGTCCAAGTGGGCGGAGCCCACTCAGCGGAGCTCTCATCACTATACACTACTTGGGGCACGCCCAACCCATTCATAAGATAGCTCAGGCCAGATACAGTCGGGCCGCTGAAATAAGGAACTAAGCCCATCTTCGGCCCCAAAAGCACCTACGTGCACAGGGAGGGCTAGAGGAACAACCACATAGTCGCCTAAGGAACATCAGGCCCCTCTCGTGCCCAAACTGTTCCTTGTTTCGTAGTCTTGACTGTAGAACCCCACCACGGCATCCACTTCTAACCTCCGTATCCTCTCCGCACCCACAGCGGTGATCTCAGTGGGCTGGGGGGCAGGACCCCCGCACGCTGCGCGAGCGAAGGCGGGCGGGCGGCGGGAGATCCGTCGAAGGCGACACGCACAGCGACGGTACTCACAACTGCACATGGTCGGGTCCTTCGCCAGAATATTTGTTCCACGGCGTCGATCCTCAGAAGTCTCGGCTCAAGCCCCAGGAACGTATTCTTAAGATATATATTTTTATATATATATATATATATGAATATACATATATATACATATATATATATATCCCCAGGAACGTATTATATATATATTGCGTCGTTTCCTGACACGACGAGGGCCCCAGAGGCCGAACACGCCCCAACAACTCCCGCCACGATCCTCTCACGGCGCGCAGGGGTCTGGGCTCCCGGGGCCCCCCTCGCCTCGTGAACCGCTCACGACGGCAACTGTTGTTTTGCTCGGCCTCGGGGGGCCCGCGCCGGGCCGTAGGACCGTCAAACCACAACTCGAAAGCCAGCCCTGGGGAACGAGTCGAGGCCTCAGGGGGTCGACGTCGTGAAAACGTCATGACGTCGGGGGTCTGGTGTCGGAGGGATCGCGCCGCATCGCCGATGCATCGTCGATGCATCGGCGACGTCGGCAACGCATCGGCGCCGCTGGCGTGGATAAGTTCGAGCTCCGCGTCGAGCGCCATCCTCCGACCCCACCTAGTCGGACCCCATCTGGGAAGCCTGGATCTCTGCCCCTTTCCCCCAAGAGGATGTTTAGGTTCGTCCGAAGTTGCTGGACGGTCCTGGGGGGGTGGACGTTGCCCCCACTCGCTTTTTGCGAAGAAGCAGTCGTGCCCCCCCCGACGCAGCGAGCCCTGCGGCGTGGTGCTTCGATCTCCAGCAGAAACTGGTGTCTCGCACAAATGGCTTGGTCCAAACTCAGACAGGGGAGGAGGGACCCTCCCGGGAGCCCGAGCCCAACCCCCTCCCACCTCCCCGCTCTCCTCCGGGCGCCCGCCAAAACGCAGTGTGGCGGACTTCGCGGCCGCGTAACTGGATTGCCGCGACAGTCCTGGGCCCCAGCGGCGACCTCCAGACACCAGAACGTGACAACTGACCCATGGAACAATCCTGCCGACCCATACCCCCTCGAATCATGAAATTATATCCTGACGAAGAACCCAACCATGTATACCGCGTTGTGGTCATTGCTTTCGGTGAAGCTCCGTGGGGCCACGAACCATGTGAGGTGTGCGCCCGAATTGGCGGGGAACCGCATGCGAACTGCGCCACGGAGACACTCGGTGGGGCTGCCTACGGGGCCACAAAGCGTGTGAGTGGTGTGCCGAAGCGGGCGCGACGCCCGCATGCGAATTGCATCACGGCGGCACTCGGTGAAGCCGAAATTGGTCTGGAACCACACGCGAATTGCGCCACGGGGGCACTCGGTGGTGTGGCCATCGCTTTCAGTGGAGCTTCCTATGGGGCCACGAAACGTGTAAGGGGAGTGTGCCAAAACGGGAGTAACGCCCACATGCGAACTGCGTCACGGGCACTTCAGGTGGAGCTCCATGTGGGGCCACGAAACGCATGAGAAACGTGCCGAAACGGGCGTGACGCCCACATTGGATCTGCGCCACTTTGGCCTGAGGTGGAGCGCCGTATGGGGCCACGAAACGTGTCGGGGTATGCCGAGGCGGGGGTGACGCCAACATGTCAACTGCGCCACAGAAGCACTCGGTCGAGCTCCCTGTGAAGCCACGACACGTGTGAGGGGTGAGCCGAAACGGGCGTGACGGCCTGATGCGAACTGCGCCACCGTGGCTTTAGATGGAGCTCCCCCTGGGGCCACGAAACGTGTGAAGGGTCTGCCGAAACGGGTGGGGAACCGCATGCGAACTGCGCCACACATGAACTTGGTGTGGCTCCCTGTGGGGCGACGAAAAGGTGTGATGTGCCGAAAAAAGTGCGACGCCCGCATGCGAACTGCGCTACGGAAGCACTCGGTGGAGCTGCCTACGGGGCCACGAAACGTGTGAGGGGTGTAACGGCACGGGCGTGACGCCCACATGGGAATTTCGCCACATTTGCCTGAGGAGCGCTATATGAAGCTACGAACCGTGTGAGGGGTGTGCTGAAACGGGATTGACGCCCACATGCAAACTGCGCCACAGAGGAACTCGGTGAAGCTCCCTATGGGGCCACGAAGCGTGTGAAGGGTCTGCCGAAACCGGCGTGACACCCACATGCGAACTGCGCCACGGAGGCAATCGGTGGAGCTCCCTATGGGGCCACGAAAAGTGCGATGGGGTGTGCCGACATGGGCAAAGATGATGCCGCTGATTTGATGGTGGTGATGATGATGCTGCTGATGCTGATGCTGATGATGCTGCTGATGATGCTGCTGCTGATGATGATGATCATCATCCTCATGCTGATCATCATGATGATCATGATGCTGATAATGATAATGATAATGATAATGATAATGATAATGATGCTGATGCTGATGCTGATGCTGATGCTGATAATGATGATGATGCTGCTGCTGCTGCTGATGATGATGATGATGATGATTACGATGATGATGATGATGATGATGATGATGATGATGATGATGATGATGATGATGATGATGATGATGATGATGGCGGCGGCGGCGGCGGCGGCGAGGATGATGATGCTGATGCTGATGCTGCTGCTGCTGCTGCTGCTACTCATGATGATGATGATGATGATGATGATGATGATGATGATGAGGAGGAGGAGGCGGAGGAGGAGGAGGAGGAGGAGGACAAAGAGGAGGACGAAGAGGATGAGAGGAGGGATGAGGGGGGAGGAGGAGTCAGGAGTGAGCGCGGGGGCTCTCTTCAAAAAGAGGACCCCACACCACAGGATGTTTTGGACAAATATCAGGGACATTTTTTTCTATATTTTTAGCTTCTGGGGCCCATACCGAGCCTCGGGACCGCCTAAAAAACGACTCGGGATGAAAAGCCAGTCCTGGGGACTGTGTGGAAACCTTTGGGGGTCGACGTTGTGAACGAT